AAAAAGAAAGAAAAGGTTTGGAGAAAGAGATGGAGGCCTTTTTTCAGCGAAAATTGGACACAGAGTTGAAAGTAGAAGAAGCGAATTTGATGGGGTATGAGAAGAAGATTATACGAGTAAAACTAAGCAAGAGAAAAGAAAAGGAGAAGAATATGCAGAACAAGAAGAAGCTAGGAGATGAACCGGTATACATTGAGCATGACAGAACAAGGGAAGAGAGAATGGTCCAAAGAGATATAGTGAACCAGGCGAGGGAATTAAGAAAGCAAGGAAGGAAGGTGATAATACGTTATAGAAAGTTGGAAGTAGACGGAATGTGGTATAGATGGAGTGATAGAAAAAAGAAGCTAGTTAAAGAGAGACAGAGTTTTTATATGACAGAGGAGAACAGGAATTAGGTGGAAAGGGGAGAAAAAAGAAAAACAAGAATAGTCAAGAAGGAGGAGAGAAAAAACAGCATGGAAAAAGAATAGAGACAAAGGGAAGGAGAAAGGTGAGAATAATGGCATGGAATGTGGCAGGGATAAAGAATAAGGAAAAGGATTTTTGGGAATACTTAGAAAAATTTGACATAATAGGACTGCAGGAGACATGGTTAGACAAGAGAGGGTGGAAGAAGACGGAAGAATCAATCCCAAGAAATTACAACTGGATAGTACAAGAGGCGAGGAAGGATAAAATGAAAGGTAGATACATGGGTGGAATGGTAGTTGGAGTAAGAAAGGACTTAGAGATTGTGAAAGCAGGGCAGGTAAAGAAGGAATTATACAGCTTGAAATAAGGATGGTAGAAGAAATTTGCCACATAATAATTGTATACAATAGAGGAGGAGAGAAGGAAAAACTGAGAGAAGTGGAGGAATGACTAGAAAGGAATAAAGGAAAAGTTTGCTAATAATGGGCGATTTCAATGCAAGGATTTCAGATAAAGGAGGAACATGCTGGATGGGAGAAGAGGAGATAAGAAAATCAAAGGATAAGGTGATAAACGCACAGGGATATGAATTACTGAAGATGGTAGCGGAAAACAGCCTAGGAATACTGAACGGAAGCAAGAAAAATGATGAAACAGGAGAATGGACCTTTATAAATAAAATAGAAAGCAGCGTTATAGATTATGCTATAACGGATAAAGAAACATGGGATAAGATAAAGGAAATGCAGATAGGAAAGAGAACAGAATCGGATCACATGCCGATAGAAATAAAGAGAAAAGCTAGAAGGTGTAAGGTTCGAAAAAGAAGGAGTGCAAGAAGAGTTAACAGAACTGATAGAAAAAATAAAGAGTGCAGTAACGAAAAAGAGAATAGAACCAGGTAAATGGGGAGAGGAAAAGAAGAAATGGTGGGACAGAGAATGCAGAGAAAGTAAAACAATCTTGAACAGAAAACTAAGAGAATATAAGGAGGGAAAAGTGGAAAGGATAGAATATGTAAAGGAAAAGAAAAGACACAAAAGAATATGCAAAGATAAAGAGAAGGCATATAGGCAAGCAGAAATTAGAAAGATTATAGAAATAAAGGATGAGAAAGAGATTTGGGGATACATCAGAAGAGAAAGAGGCAAAAGAAAAAGGATCGAAGAGAATATAACAATGGAAGAATGGAAACAACACTTTATGAAGCAATATGAAGGTGCGGAAAAGAGGAGACGACAAGAGAGAGGGAGAGGGATAGTAGGAGATGATACGAGGAAAATATAGATAGGAGAGATTGAACAAGTAATAAGGAAACTGAAGGAAAAGAAAAGCCCGAGAGTAGACGGGATAAGAAACGAAGCGTGGATATATGCAGGAAGGGAGGTAAAGGAGAGATTAGGAAGAAGATAACAGAAGAGTTTTGGACCGAAAAAGGTGTGAGACAACGTTGCCTACTGAACCCCCACTCCTGTTTATTATATTCATTGCAGATATAGAAGAGTATTTACGGAGAGGACAAGAGGGAGGAATAACGATAGGAGGGAAAAGGATATACACCTTAGCATATGCAGATGATCTGGCGATAATAGMGGAGACGGAGAAGGAACTAAAAAAAATGATGGAAAGCGTGGGGAGATATTTCAAAAGGAAAGATCTGGWATTAAATACAGAAAAAACGARAGTGATGGTGTTTAGTAAGAGAAAGAGCAGAAAGAAAAGAAAATGGTTCTATAATGGGAAAGAAATAGAAGAGATCAGCGAATTTAAATACTTAGGATATACATTCAGATACAACAACAAGAAGGAATCGCACATTCAGGACATAAGAAGGAGAACAGCAGCAGCTATGGTACAAATATGGAATATTGGGGAGAGAAAATTCGGTGGAGACTTCAGAAGGAGAATGATAATGTTTAACTCAATGGAGAAGAGTATATGTATGTACGCAGTGGAAATTTGGGGGATAGAGGAAAGGAAAGAGGTAGAAAAAATACAGGAGAGGTACTTGAGGAATATACTAGGATTGGATTTATGTGTACCGGGATATTTGATAAGAGAAGAAACGAAGGTGGAAAGAATAGCAGTGGAAGCAGGGTAAGAGTAATTAAATATGAAGAAAAGATTAAGAGGGCGGAAAACGAATTACTTAGACACTGCAGGAGAGAAATGGATAAGGAGAAATGGGAGGTAACGAGAATGGGTAGGTTGAGGGGAAAAATGTATGAAAGAGCAGGACTCAATAGATGGGAAGCAGAGGCAAGAGATGACAGTGGACAGAATGTGGCGGAGATATGAAGAAATAAAGTGATAGAAGAGGAAAGAAAGGAAAGGGATAAAAGGATAGAAGAATCGAATTACAACAGGGAATATRRAAGATGGAGAACARAAGGGCTACCAAAATACCTGCAAGAGAAAAGTAAAGGACAAAAACTGAAAATGATGGCAAGGTTTAGATTAGGGAATGAATGGAGGGCAAGCAGATATTGGATAAAGGAGGATCATGTGCAGATTATGTGGGACAGAGAAAGAAACAGGAATGCATGTAATGAAGGAATGCAATTATTCGGAAACGGAAGAGAGGATAGAAGTATTGATGGGTGATGAAGGAAAGGGAATTGAATGGATGAAAGAACTAAGTAGAAGGAGAGAGCGGTGTTAAGAGTCAGTAGCAGAAAGAAGATGTTAATAAGTGTGTATTTGTAAAAATGTATAATGTAATTTAATAAGTATTATATTAAAACGGTGTCAACGCACCCCATATATCCCGAAAGAGAAGCATTATTTTGAATAAAAAAAAAAAATTTACTTAGGTTAAGATATGATAAACATTAGGTAAGATTGACAAACATTCTACCATTTTTGTTTCTATTTATGGCTATCGCATTCAGCATTCTATTTTTATTGCTTGAATTTGAAAAAGTGTTGTTTTTGTCAACTATTCCACCCAGAGATCATACCGGTGCCTTTTGTTATTTTTATTATTTTAATTATAATAATTCCGTATTTAGAAAATTTTTACTTATTTTTCAATAAAATAGATACATTTTTGAATTGAACAAACTGGACACGTGACATAAACAAATAAACCTTATTTGCTATTATGTTTCCAATATAAAAGCAATAATACAACTTATTTTAAAAATTGGAAAAAAAATTTGTTTTAAATTACAAAAAAATTTTTTAAATTTATAAAATAAAACAACGAAAATAAAATGACCACAATTTTTTCGTTCTTTTTCAAGCATCCAAAGTTATTACTTGCAACAACAACAAAATACTTGTGTGCTAACCCATGATAAAAATATCTCCAATTCAAAGAAAGAATATCGTCTACCTGGGTTTTACAAAAAGGATATTTTATATTTACTTAGTTTGCGATGAATTATATTTCCCTCGATAAACATCCTACTATTTTGGTGTCTATGACTATCGCATTCATCATTTCATTTTTATTTCTTTAATTAGGAGAAATGTAGTTTTTATCGGCTATTCTACCCACTAATCATACCGGTGCCCTTTGTTATATATAATAACAATATTATAATAAATAAGTCCTGCAATAATTTTACTTTTGATACTGTGCATTCGTCTCATTCTCTCAAAACTTAATTTTTTTACAGGTTAGTACAGGTTAATGAAATGGGGTGATAGTTTTCAGGTACATTTTTCTTTTTACCTGACTTTAATATAGGAATTGCTAAAGCATATCTCCATTGATCGGGAAAGACATTTTGTTGCAATATATGATTGTATATATTGAGGGGAAATTGTTTACCAACAATAATGTAGGGAGGTTTTTAAAGAATACATATTGAATATTATCAGGACCCGGTTATGTATTTTTCTTTTTCTGCTGGAGGGCGTTGGTTAGTTCAGACATTGAAATTGGAATATTGATACTCTAATCTATGGGGTTTATTGGTTGAAATGTTGATTTGATTGGTTTATGATTCTTTTTGATATGAATAAATTTTTCGTTATACTTATGATCACTGGAATTTAGCGCTATTTGTTCAGCCAAGACGTCTGCAATAACTTGTGGTTCCTTAATTATTTCATTGTTGTTTAATTTCAAGTATGGAATTTTTGAGATCTTTTTATATCCGTTAATCTTATTATTTTTATCCCGAATTTTTTTTGTAGGTATTCGGTTAGTCATTGATGAAGTGTAGTCGATCCATGATTTTCTCTTACTTTCTTTGATTACTTTCCTAGCTTTAGCTCTTAGTTTTTTAAATTCGATGAGGTTCTCTATGGTATTATGTTTTTTTAAGTCGATTGAACGCGGGGTGACTCGTTCATGTAACCTCTTTACAAGTTTCATTCCACCAAGATAACGGGGGTTTGGGACGTCCTTTTCTTGAAATTTTTCCCATTGCTTCTTCTGCTGAATCATTTATGATTTTTTCCATATAATTCACAGCCTCATTAGCGTTAAAATGGGAGACATTTAGGTGAGGGTTTGTTTCTTCAAGGTTTTTGGTGATACACTCAGCAAATTTTCCCCAGTCAGCTTTTTTGAGGTTCCATATAGTTGAGTTATTGTGAATGTTATAGTCATCTCTTTCTTCTGGATTATTTATTAAGATCGGGAAGTGAATCAGAACATGTCATTTTGTAATTTTAATTTCAACAAATGGCAGACTCTTTTTTCGGTTTCGACATTACGATTTTAGATGGTTTAGAAGATGGCCTTGATTGTCCTTTGGAAGAAGAAGATTTTGGTGAGGAGGAATATGATGCATTGAACGATGAAACTTTTGGTTCAGAAGCTACCATTGGAGATTGGGAACAAGATCATGAGAAACTTGCAGAAATTGCAGAGTCTAGTAGGCCGCAGCATAAAAGTGTTCCGGATAAAAAGGTTTGTATTACAGTTATATATTCAACTTAAATAATTAAGAACATGAAAGTATATAATTTCAAATTTTCTTTTTTAGAATGGTATCAGTGTTAACATCGAAGATAGTTTATCGCATTTAGTATTAGATGAAAAAGAAGGAATTGTACCTAAACCAGGTGTATGGGATAGTCCTAGTATTATACCATTACCTAAACCTCTACCACCTCCTTCTTTAGCAACTACCTTAAAAAATGTATGTACAGTGGAAGAATTGGAAAGAGGTCTTATCGCTAATAGACCTCCACCCGGTCTTATAAAACCAACTCAAACTCAAATACAACAACAAAAGACCGATGGGTCATTTATTTTTGATGCTTTGTCAGTAAATGACAAACTTCAAATCAATGGCTTACCTCCCACTCGATTTCCACCAGGATTGAGCTTACCTGGCCCACATCCCATTATGTTGCCGCCAAATTTAAGATTACCACATTCACCACAATACATCCAACATCCTAGATTATTATCTAATCAGCCTAATAATGTAATGCGATATCCACTACCACAACATGTTATGCTACCGCTCGGATTACAAAGGCAGCCAATTCATGGACCATTTACAAGCAATTTTCATCATCCGCCTCATCCTAATATAGGACCTCCACTATTTCTTCGTCAAGATCATCCAATGATGCCTCCGTTTCCAAATCAAGTTGGTCAACAACATTCATTTCCACATCCTGTAAATCAAAGGAACCAAAATAGATTATTTTATTCCAATGAACAAGCGAATCATCAGCCATTTTTTAAGAATAATCAATATCCTCCTCGTAATCATGATAGAAATAATCAAAGATATTATCATTATCAACATCATAATCATCCTCAAGGAATAAATGGCGTTAATAATTCTGGAGAATATGACGAATATGCTAGTCTTATGAGTAGTAGAGAAAAACAGTGGTTAATCAATATTCAATTGCTCCAGTTAAATACGAATCAACCATACGTTGATGATTATTATTATACGGTATTTTGTGATAGACAAAATAAGCTAAATGCTAATCAAGAACAGAAAGATAAAAAACATAATAACAATAACGGATTTCAAAAAGAATCTAGAAATCGCGATCAACAACCTCAACATGTTGCATCAAAAGTTGTATATATTCCAGCACAGTTTGAGAATTCATTAGGGAAGCTGCAATTCAGTAGTGTTACAGCACCTCGTAAAATTATTGATATGGATGTTGTTCCCAATAGTGATCCACATTCAACTTTACAATCTCAACAAAAAGATACTAAAAAGATGAGACAATTGTTCCTTGAAATTAAAAGGATGTATACAATACTGTTAAAAATTGAAGATATAAATAATCCTTTAGCTATGCTTTCGGAACAACAGCAATAAGAAAATGAAACAGAAACGAACACTGTTAAAAAAACAGGTGCTGAATTAATTTCTATGATGTGGACATCCATTTCTCAGTTAATACAAGATGACAAAATAGCCAGTATGCTTAGTATTCGTAAAGGCAAGACACTGCTATTGAGATTTTTACCTTTAATAAATGTAATCGAATGTAGCAACCAATTGGAAAATTTATGGACCTGTATATTAAGAAGTTTAGCAATTATTGGTCGTAGAGATTCACATTTATTGACAAATTTTTATCCCGAGTTTCGTTTTCTATCCCGACTTCTCGGGAAGTCGCTGTCGAATAAGCTGTCTAGAGTTTTCCAGTTTAATTTCGTCATAAGTTGTGGGCTACAAAAGGATAGATCAATGGCACTAAATGTTCCGTTGCTTATATTGAAATGTGTTGGTGATACAATATAAATTGCCATTTAGAATGGCAATGTTAGATAGGTCTAGAAACTTCTCAATTGATTTCCCTCTAGTATCTTGTTTATATGAGCCCCACAATGTACTATGACTGTTGAAATCGTCAAGTATAATTAGTGGTTTCGGTAGTTGATTTATTAAGTCGAGTAGATCTTCAATTTCTAGTTTTTGACTATTGGGTGTATATATATTGCATATACATGTTTTTATGGGGAAGGAGATACGGATTGCTACTGCTTCCAAGATTGACACCACTTGTATTTCCTTAAATTCTAGAGAATTGTGAACGAATATTGATACTCCTCCACTGGCAAGTTGAGTAATTCTATTCTTTGATGAGGGTGAGTATCCTTTTAGATTGGGTGTCTCGTTTGTTTTTAGATTTATTTCTTGAAGACATTTAATCAAAGGGGAGTTTTCATGAATGAGTAATTTTAATTGTTCTATATGCTTGTAGAATCCATTAATGTTCCATTGTAGTAAAAATGTCATAATATGAGTGTATTATATATATTTCACTCTTGGGAGACGGTGGTAGAAGGATTGATTGTATATTCTGTTGACTTATGTTGTCATCGATTGTGTCTTTGGCCGGTTCTAGAAGTTCTTCGATTGTTTTTATTTTATTAGTAGTTGAGGAATTTATTTTCCTGCGTTTATTTGTTCTATTTTTACAGTTTTGTGTGGAAGTTTCTATATCAGTGGATTCGTAGTCTTCATTAGAGTAGTCGGAATTTGGGTTGGAGGAGCTTATTTCATGAATGGTTGGTTCTTGTATTTGTGTAGAGTTAGAAGATATAGATAGTGGTCTTTTAGTTTTAATAGAGGAAACAAAATGATTGTTTGCTTCAATATTTTTCGTTAATTTAGTATAGGTGATATTTGACTCATCGTTTTCAGTTATGTTATGAGTGTTTGGTGTGACGTCAGTTGTGAGTAATGTATTGTTGATGTTATTGTTTAGACAGACTTTATGATGACTTAGACACACTATATGACCTTCTTTATAACATAAGAAGCAGGTTGTCGATTCTGGTGAAAGATAGATCCAATATTTAGTCTCTTTGTATTCTAATCCCATTGTTTCAGGTAGAGAGGGGAGAGATTCAGGTTTTATATAAATTTGACGCCGAAAGCTAAGAATATGCGTAAGTTCTGGTTCCGAAAAATCAGCTCTCAGGAAGGATATATTTGAGGTAGGACTGATACCTTTCATTATTAAGGTTTCTTTGATGACGTCGTGAGGAATTATGGGGCGGACGTTCGATATTATGATTCTGATACTAGCAGTTATTAACGGTCTAACGTCTAATTCGTGTTCACCTATGCGTATTTTCTCATGTTTACAGATATCGTCAACTATTTTTTTACTTGAGAAGTACACACATACTCTATTGTTGGAGATTCTAAAGATAAAACGTATGTTAAGTTAGCTTACTTATTTCGCTTATATAATCTTTACTAGGAATTCCTTCTCTAGCTTCAATTATGACCGCTTGATCTTTCTTAGGGAATGTGAAGTTTGCTGCTGAATTTGCGTATAATCGATTAGTTTTAATGCCTAGGTTTTGAGTTACATTTTCGCTAGTTATGACCTCTGTATGCAAGCTCCTGTACTCAGAAGACTGCATCTCGGCGAGATTACTACTTAGCACTGTGTCCAATCTGTTGATTTCCTACTATCTATAGTTTACACTTGATAACTTATGAACTTTTCCATTATGTTTTCAAGACACTCGTGGTTTACTAATACGCAGCGTTTTAGACAGATGTCAACACGGAACTCTTATATTTCTTGTTGTACCTCGCTTCGTCTATTTTGTTGGCTTGCAGTTAGCCTTGTGTTTCTCTGTCCCTTTCCTTCAGACTTACATTTATATTTACATTTTCCTCCTGCAGCCTCCATATCTCTAACTTTGCTTGGCTTAACCCGTTCCTTTCCATATATCCCTCCCTTTCTTTGCTATTCTTCGTCTTACCTATTCCTTTTTCCTTCTCTTTTAAACATTCTTTTATCAACGTCCTGTCATTTGCCTTTCTAACCCTGTCCTCGAACCTTAGCGCTCTTTGTCATGCTTCTATCCTTATCTTATCTCTCTTTGTTTCTTCTAGAATGATGTACCCTGGAGTGCAACGTTTTAGTCCCAGGCACCAGCGTATGTACTTAACTTGACTCCTCTCTAGCTCTACCCTTTCGGCCCAGCCGAATAGTTCCGCTCCGTATAGCATTACTCCTTTTACTAGGTAATCAATCATCATCACTTTTCTTTCGAAATTATCTTTGAATTTTCTCTCCCCTATCCCCCATACTTGTCTGATTACAACATTCACATTTTTCGCCCTCTCCCTCACGTGCTTCGTCAGGTCTTCGTTTCTTTGGAAACGGATCCCTAAGTAAATGAACTCTTTGACCATTTCTACTTCTTGCCATTTCCACTCCCAGCTTGTCTCTCTTTTCTTCCCTCCACCTTTGCCGAAAACTAGCATTTTTGTTTTTTCGGCATTCAAATACAATCCCTTTTTGTCAAGGTATCTTTCTAGCCTCTTTATAATTGCCCTTATACCCTTCTCCTCATTCGCTACCATTACTATATCGTCCGCATATGTCAGTGACCAGAACTTCTCTTTTCCTACCATAAGTCTCCCATCTTGACCTCTTTTGAGTACCTCTTCCAGATCTGCCGTGAAAATCGTGAACAGTGAGGGGCTCAGCGGGCACCCCTGTTTTACGCCCTCCGCTGTCCAAAACTTCACTGTTTCACCCTTGCTTGTTCTAATCACGTTCTCTGTTTCTTCATATATCTCTTTGACTCTTTGTATTAGTCCTCTACTTATTCCCCTTTCTTTCATTATCTTCCACAGTTTCCCTCTGTCTACTTTATCGAATGCTGCCTTTAAGTCTATAAAAAGAGCATATACTTTTTCGGCTTTCTTGTTGCGTTCTCTCTTGACTACATGCTTCAAGACATATGCGTTGTCTATCGTTCCCCTTCCCCTTAGGAATCCCGCTTGTGTCTCTGACAGTATTCCCTCTTCTATCTAGTCCCTTATCCTCTCGTTTAGAATAGCTGCGTATATTTTGTAGGCTATATCCAGTAACGTTATCCCTCTGTAGTTTTTCGCTTCTTCTACCTCTCAATTTTTAAAAATCGGGACTATAATACACTTTTTCTACTCGCTCGGGAAACCCTCCCCTTTCCATACCCTTTTCAGTATCTCCTTCAAATTCAATCGTGTCGTTCCCTCAAAGAACCTCCATACTTCTCCCAGAATGCCGTCTTGACCCGCCGCCTTCTCTCTCTCCAGCTTTCTCAATTGTATTTCAATCTCTTCGTCCTTCAGGTCTTCTACTTCCTCTTCTTTCCCTAGTTGTTTTCTTCGAGCTGTCTCTGTCTTTTCTTCTTTCCCTCCTAGTAGGCGGCAGAAATGTCTCCTCCACTCTTTGTTCGTTATCTTCTCTCCTATTAGTACTTTCTTTTTTCTACCCTTGTTGACGGAGAGCTGGCTACATAAAAAGGCTTGTATCTGGTACACGATTCATTTCTATTGAAAAAGGTATCTTTGGTATAGCTGAACATAAATCTGCCTGTCTGCCATCGCGAAGGCGTGGCTTAAAGCGGGGGCGTACGGTTAAACACGTGAAATTTAGGTGTGAAAAAAATCATAAGGTACACGGATTCTAATTATGGAAAAAGCTTGTATTTATATTAAGGAAACGCGGAAAAATATTGGCAGAAAGTTTGCAAGGGGCTAAAGTGCCGCCAGAGCGCGCCAAAGGGGTATAAAAGTTAATTAAAAAAAAATCACGAGGTACATGAACAAAAACTATTTTATTTTATTATTTAAACATTAAGGGGACACGTCACCTTCGAGTGTAAAAAAAGCGGTTTTTTTGTGAATTTTTTTTGCAGCCAGTTTTATTAATATCAATACAAATTTTTGGTATATGTAAGTTATATATCTGAACTATATTCACAATTTTTCATGTGTAAAAATATTGTAAATTGTTTTGTCTGTGGCCACTTTTCTAAGAGTCCAAAAAAAAAAGGTGATTTTCGGTTGCCCTCACTGGCAAAAATTGGTTCATCAAAAACAAAAAAACCGAATGTTATCCTTTAGTAGAGATGTTTGCGCAGGGAATGAACGAAAGGAAATTTTGATTTTTTAATTTTTCTCAAAATCGCCGAGTTTTTGAGAAAAAAAATTGACATTTTTTCGAAAAATCCTTTTGTTCATTCCCTAGATACATGTATCTAGTATTACTGTACAAAATTTGGTAAGGATCGGATAAATGGTCTGGACGCAGCGAGGGCAACCGTTTTGAAAACGCGAATAGGAGAAATTAACGTTTAAAGTTTTGGTAACTTATTTGGAGCGCTACGGCGCGTTCCGTTTAACCTACTACAGTTTCGTAAATAATGCGCGGATCTTTACCAAAATTTGAAGAAATATTTTTGAAATAATATTCTTTCAGAAAATCGAAAAAAATAAATCGATTGTTTTGTTGACGTGTCCCCTTAAGAAAACAATGCACCAAGTGGCCGACAAAAAAGTGGTGGCGAAAGCTTTGGCAGACAGTTTGAAAATGCGCGTTATCATTCAAGCTTTTTTATTGGGCTTAACGCGATATTTAATTATGGAATAAATATGAAATTATTATACTGTGAATATATTGTTAGAAAGACAAAAAGTGACATTACGTTATATATATTCATATCTTTATTAATTGAATACTGCAAAAATATTAACAGATGCTATTCAATTTCGCTGGCAGTGTCTGACTCAGATGGAAAATCATCTTCGCTTTCATATATCGAATCTTCCTCAGATTCGATTCCTGCATCATCGCCTGAAATATAGTAGGATTTTTACACATTGAAGTAAAAAGAAATTTTATATATTCTATGATAAAGTATTTTACCTTCAATAATTTCAGTATCAAGTACATCTTTTACTGTACTGGGCAGCTGCGGTCCGTTGAACCAGTTGAATTTATATTTGTCTTCGGATATTAACCATCCACAATTCTCTGGTTTTAAAATTGACGGTATTTGTTTGTAAGCATTTTTCCATATTGTAGCAATATATTTTGTTCTTAATAAATGCTGCGTCAATTCAGCCTTGCTGGGCGGTAGAGTCGAAGCATCAAAATTCTGTAATTTTTTTTTCTGGAATGGTTCGTCTAAGTCGTTTACTTTATAAGTTTTTAAAAATAATGCGAATCGGACACTATTTACAGAATCCATAGACTTAAAACTATATAAGTTGCAAACAAATTTCTCGAGCACCGTAAATACGCTATTTTCGTCACAGTCTTTAGAGCCTATTTGATTAAAAGCTTGTTGAAACTCTTCGTTCTTTCTGAGTATCTGTAAAGGGCGTTGCTTTCCCTTCCCGAATAATGCAGGATTAAAATTGCAGCCAGTTAAGGCATGAAATCCAGGTAATGATTGACAGAATAAATCACCTAACGTTTCATACAACGCTGAAACGTCAATGATTCTTTGTCTATTCCAAACTTCTGTTTGTATATAAACTTTGCTACCTTGTCGAACATTAATTATATTAGCTAACATTATAATTAAAATGTCTGTATCGGAGCATTTTATTACAATATTTGCTCTTGATTCAATATTGCACGCGTGGTATACAATTTTTGTATTTGCTTCTTCGTGCAAATCGAGCGTAAAATTATCATTAATTGAAAATAAAATGCTCTCATTTCGAATTTCATATTGATAGCATTTATCGAAATTAAGTAGCACTTTTTTATTTCCTACAAACGGAATCATTTCTTGCTGTTTCCAGTGATTTATTAAAAAATTCACTAATGCTTCTTTAAAATAACTGTTTCTCAGCTTTTTATTAAAATCGGCTGGTCTTGCTTGCTCTGGCCCAGAAATTACATACATGCGATTACCAGAGAAACCTCCTCGCTGTGACCTTTCATAGTCTTTGATAGACGGTGACCAATATCTATCAAAAATTATATGTATTTCATGGGCTTTGTCGTTAGTTACCATTTGCAGTATTTTTTTCGAAACACTGCCAAATGTCTTTGGCAAGTCCTTAATACAATGGATAAAAAAAAATCCATCTATTAAACAAATGTCGGTATCAGTCGGAGCCTTACTTTGAACATCTCTTTCCAAACATTTGAATAGAACAGATTTATCTGTTTTATAAATAGATCCATCCAAGTGACACATACACATTGGAACGGGTGTTAGAGGGTATGACAGAATTTTTTCAACATTAGTGTTTTCATTCATTGATATAGCTAGCATACGTCCGAATAAGTCACGCTGCAATCGTACCTCTTGAATTTTATTATTCACCCTCACTAATCTCTTCTCAGTCGCAGCAGCAAAATTGAGTATTTTATTTTGCTTTATTGTCATTTCGAATCTACTATCAGATTCAGCACATTCAGAAATAAACGTTTCTCTCAAGCGATGACCTGTTTTCTCAACACTCAATAAAAATTCAGTTACTTCTTGCGACGCTGCTCGTCCTGTTGCAATATTAAATAACTGATCGCTCTGAATATCTTCGCTGTTGAAAGGATTCATGTTTTGTTTCAAAACAGTTATAAACTTTTGAAGCTGTGTACTGTCTTTTTTAATTTGGTGCTTTTCTAAATCGCCGGTGATGTCTTGCGTTTTTTTTAATCCTGTTATATCGTACGTATGAGATACTATGGTCGATCGGATACCATGATTTTTAGCCCATCTTTGCCGCGCTGAGATTGAGTTTGTAAAGTGCATGATACCTCTTAATGGTTTAGAAGCAGTAGCATTAACAGTTTGCTCCAACGTTAAATCTACGGGCATTCTCGAAAATGGTTTTTCGGTCCTTTTTACGCCGAAAAATCCATTTTTGAAATCTTCCTCGAGGCCTGGATGCGTTAATTGAACTTTTAATAAATTTTCGTGATACTTTAGCAGCCATCGAGAATAATTAGCTTGATTAAAAATAAAAAATAAATTTGCTAATTTCGGTATCACTTTTTTATATAGTTYAAAATCTCCGAGGCGAATACTTCTCGAAAACATTAAATAATAATTGACAAAATGAATGTACATGGTATAAAACTGTGCAGTTTTACCGTAATCGCCATTCAACGTTGACGATTCAAAATTTAAATAGTCATTTAATAAATTATTTAACGTTTTATTTTCAATATCGAAATTCGTTATAATTGTTGACTGAAATTGTTGAATAATCTCAATCAAATCGGCGCTGATGGTCTTATTTTCTTTTCTTAGAAACTCTTCGAAAAGTAACGATCTTAATCCTAAAAATACTAATGGGTGCAAACGTTTACAGCGATTAAAATGTTTTCCAGTTAAAAATCCGTTTACTGATCCTGAAGCCAATAAACTACTTTCGACCATCATGTACGGTAATCCGCACTCATCAATAAATTTTCCTATAGCTTTAAAATAAGCCATCATTATATGGAAAGCGCCAAGGTGAATAAAAAGATTGTTAAACTGCGGATTTTTCGTACACTGGATTTGGTAAGCTATTTTTGCTATCGCTAAGTCATACGTCACTTGTATATACTGTTGCGAACACTCTTCAGCAATTTTTTGACTTTGGCGCATTGTTTCGAAGACAACAGAAATGTTTTTAGGTGAAAGATTTATCGGTGTAAGATAGGAAACTTTTTGCTTCACTGAACGATCATYAACAATCCTGCTATTGTACCCGACCCACATAGGTGTATTAGCGATTTTTAAATAATGTGAAATTACCCAAGTCACATCTAATTTCTCATAAAAAAAATAATTACTGGCTTCAACAATACGTAGATCACTATCAAGGTCCAATAATTTATCCGTCAGCTTGGGTTTCTTCAAGTAAGGAAGTATCTCCGTAGATATGACTTCGTAAGTTCTTCTTCTTTTCGTTGGTGGTGCACTGACGACATTGTCGATTTCAGATTCGAGAGTGTTTGAACAACCTGCTTGTACATTTTGATATATAATTCCCACTGTGTCATGTAGCGTGTCTTTCCCGCTACACGTTTCAACCCATCGATTGTAATTATCGAATGCTACTCCTGTGCTGTAGTAAGGGGATAATTGAATTTCTTCAGGACAGATTATTGACTTACTCAAGGAGGAAAACGTCGCCTCTGTTTCCAGTTCCTCAACAGTATTATAACTAATACATTGGCCGTATTTATTAAGCAAATCAACAATTTTTCGGCTACTTGTCATGCTTTTTAAAGTCATTCCAAGAGTAATTTGTTTTGACGTTTTTATTTTGCCATGATGAATCGCATACACTAAATCTTGGGCTATAGAGTTAACTTTTCGGGTACAGCTACAACTTTTTACTGTCCTAGGATCATTCTCGCAAATTAAAGAACGAAGAAATTGTAAAACATCTGCAGGAATTTCACATTCTCCCTTCATCAATTCAACCGTTGTTAACTTTTGAGGCAGAGGATTTTTTTTTATAGACATAATTTTTTTTCTTAAAACGAATGCTGCTTGTTGCAATATCTCGCTTTCCCCGAACTCACTAAATGATTTTTCGGATATAATGCATCCGTCCCTTGGAGCTATAATTTTACGATTGTACATTTCGATTATCTGCAATTCATCACCATATTTATTTTTCAATTTTTCAAGCACTTTGGCGTTTGTTATAGACGGTTCAAAAGTTGTATATTTTTCCGAAAATAATTTATATAATGCAGTTTTACAGTACTCTACTAAGAATTTTAGCGAATAGCATTGCTTTTTCTTGATTGTATTTTCGGTTATGAAAGAATAAAGTTCATTATCAACTAACTCACGAACTTTTCTTGTAATGTGCCAATCTGTCTGCTTTCGTTCCAAAGCCGTAATATTTTTTTTAAAATACATTAATTTGCATGTATTGTGGTAGAAAATAACACGACTTACCCCTAAAGACGTAATTTTCGATAACGTCTCACTATCGTTTATTGCAGTTGCATTCGTGACAATTTTTTCAATTAAAATTTCGTTTGCAGATTGTATCAAAGGAACTATTTTTTGTCCTTGCCTCTTCCTTGACTGATTACAGAAAAAACAGGTACCTATATTTTTTACATTAAAATTTTGAACTGCAAGTTGTGCTACGTCGTTTGATTCTTTATTTACAAGCTCGTCATCAGTGCCTATTGCAGATGACTTAAAATTATCGTCACTTTCCACTGTAATAATATATTAATTCTTATTAATTTTTAAGTTGATATTATGTATAAACTATATAACATATAATTAAAATCACATTACCTGCCGAATCGGTACACTGCGAAGATACGGGTGCTTCGGCGGACTTGTAACCTTCTCGAGATTCAACGACTACCGATTGATTACTCTCTGTAAAAATGTATAAATCATTCCATTATTTATTTCACATCAAACCATATATAATCGTATTACACGCACCGAGATGTAATTACATTTTATAACAGGAACTTAAATTACGTTTTCATGCATGAATTACTGAATGTTATTAAAACAACTTTTTACCATGAATACTTAACAGCACCTCTGATTCCGGAGTAGTATCTCCTGGCTGCTGCATTTTGTTATATTTATCAAAATACTTTTTCTGCACAGATGTAAATGTTTTGTAGCAAGATAGGTGATATCCGCTAACATTGTCTACTTTTACTGGTAACACAACATCACTATATTTTAAATTATAAGCGGCACGGACTTTTAAAATATACTGGCACTTTTTCAATTTGTCTTCTTCAAAACTTTTTATTTTGAGATTGTCTATAGCACAATTAAATACACACTTTTTTCTATCCGAAGCCATGATGTGAACGAAATATCAACACTGACGAAATATAACGTCCGATCTCTGCTGAGTTTCGGAGAGCACTGAACTCTCTCTCTCTCTAGCAAATGACCTTCGGCAGCAGCCCCTTTTGGTCTCTTCTATTATAATCGTATTGAAACATCTGCTTTCCAAGCAAACCTATACAAATCCGTTCCCTTATACCTATGTCATTATAATAGGTGCCCACTTTCACTTTCAAAATTTTGTGAGCCATTCGCTTTCAATTTTACAAGCCGAAGAAGCCGAATACTATCGAATGTTTATTTATTGTTTAAATAAAACTTGATTTATACAACAAAATAAGCATAAAAAATCCCAATATTTCCTAAAAATTAAAGTTGTAAAAATGGTAAAATTTTCGTTTCAGTATTTTATAAATATTAATAATTAATGTATACTTAAATATCCAGCGCGTTGTGTGCGGTTACAAATCTTCTATTTTAGCGCACTTTTTCAAGCCTACCACACCTTTAAGAAACCAAGACTTTAGACACTGTTGCTCCTCCACTGTTTTCAATTTTTAAAGTGAAAACTTCTTTAGAATAGGGAGTGATCTGAAAAAAATGAAACGCTGGTTCAGGCAACGAAGTGGTAGATAGCGAGGCAACGAAGCCTGTATACGGATAGACGACGGAGCCTCTATACGGATAGACGACGGAGCCTGTATACGGATAGGCGACGGAGAGTGTATACGGATAGGCGACGGAGCGACAGGCCGCTATGCAAGGGCCACGATATTTAGTAAGAAAAGAAATAGAGACAAACAAATAGAATTGAGCCTGGGAGAATGAGGCATTATATAGCTATACAGTATTTTTTCTATTCTCGGTCTCCTCTTTATGCTCTGCTTCGTAGTTATCGCTCCTGGTTGTATATGTGTGTGTTTGTGTGCGACTGCATACTACAAAGCGTGGACACATATTATTTCGAAATTCGAAATGTTTGTAGGTAGGAGCGATAGAAGAGTAGGAGAATAAACTGAGATAAACACGTAGGTATGCGACAAAATTATAAGGTCCAAACGAACCAACGGTCGAAATAAAGAAAGAAATCATGTGTGCAGATCAGATGTGTTAGAAGTGAAACCTTCAAAAAATTAAGTTTTGAGAGAATGAGACGAATGCACAGTTTTAAAAGTAAAATAATTGTAGAGTATATTTATTATAATATTATTACCATATATAACAAAGGGCACCG